ACCTTTGTTCAATGTAGTCATCTTGTTTCCCATAAGATGATCCACACAGGAGAGAAACCATATCAATGCATGCAGTGTGGTAAAAACTTTACTCGTAGCTATGAACTTACTATCCACAAAAAGAGACACACGGGAGAGAAGGCATATAAATGCATGCAATGTGGGAAAACCTTCACTCGTAACAATGAACTTACTGCCCACAAAAAGATCCATACAGGAGAGAAACCATATAAATGCATGCAGTGTGGGAAAAACTTTACTCGTAGCTCTGAACTTACCATCCACAAAAAGAGACACATGGGAGAGAAACTACATAAATGCATGGAGTGTGGGAAAACCTTTATTCGTAGCAATGAACTTACTGCTCACAAAAAGATCCACATGGGAGAGAAACCATATAAATGCATGGAGTGTGGAAAAATCTTTACTTGTAGTAATGAACGTACTGCTCACAAAAAGATTCACATGGGAGATAAACCATATAAATGCATGGAGTGTGGGAAAACCTTTACTCATAGCAGTGTCCTTAGAAGCCACAAAAAGATTCATACTGGAGAGAAACCATATAAATGCATGGAATGTGGAAAGACCTTTGCTCTGAACAATAGACTTACTATCCACAAAAAGATCCATACAGGGGAAAAGCCGTTTAAATGCATGGAGTGTGGAAAGACCTTTGCTCAGAATGGTAATCTCTCTTCTCATAAAAGGATCCACACTCGGGAGAAAGCATGTAGCAATAGAAATTCCACTTCAGACTTATATCCCACTCCACAAAGTTTTATAGCAGTCTTTGAGCAGTTTACAAAGTCAGCATATTATACCCAGAAATCTGGGTCATCCTTTCACTGAACTGAGAAAATTAAAAGACTGAATGAACGATGAGCCAGTCAGATCGAAATCAACTTTTCCTCCATTTTGAAACTGGATTTCTTTTTTCTTTTTCATTCAGAGCCTTCAGTGGGCACAACAGCTGGGTCATCCACAGTGTTCATCATAAGAGACTGGAGTCTCTGCCCATTCCACTTGTCTTTCAATGTCAAGCTGAGCAAATAATTTGAATAGGGCACTTTTATGTATTCAATTCAAGAAATAAAAACAAATGCATAAAATTATTTTCCCCGATTGTGGCTTCCCTGCCTGTGTCCCTCCACTTAGACTGGAGTTCACAATAACTGCAAAACACAAGCTGTGTTTTCCAGAGAGTCTGTTTCCCCATCCCACCCCGCTGGGTCTTATCGTGCGACGATATGGCCAGCCATCAGTTCCTTTGCCTACTTCGGTCCATTTCTAGAAAACAAATGCCAAACCTAGTTTAATGCAAGATCATGTGAGACCATTAGTGCAAGATCTCAGGCTACTGATCTCGCATGATATCGTACTACAGTACTTTAGGCCTCTGTTCTTTACTAACCAAGGCCTGCATGAGATCCAGGGCAAAATGCTTTGGAAACAAAGGAAAGGCCTCTTCATTTTCAAAGACTTTTGCCCTGGACCTTGTGCAGTCCACAGTTCCTAAAGAACACAGGCCTAAAATACTGCAGTGTGAGATCACGCACCACCCTTGGACCATCTCTTGCCTCACCTTATGGCAGCAACACCAGCAGAGGCACGGAGGTTTGGAGGAAGCACGTGATCCAACCCAACAGATGCGCCACCACCTGCCCACTGTCTCCGTCTTTGCCTACAGCCAGGGGTGGGATTCAGCCGTTTTGTACTGGTTCGGTGAACTAGATGTTAATTTTGCATCCAGTTTGCCAAAACGGTTGTTGCAAGGACTGGCAGGTCCTTCTCACACCTCCCCTCCCAGGAGTCTCCGTGCTTCCTGTCCATCATGCTAGGTAAGTGCATGGCCTCTGCAGAAGCTCTAGGAGGGCAAAAAATGGGCCTCCCAGAAGTCCAGAAACAGGCCTGTTTCCGACCTCTGTGGGGCCTCCAGAGCCCTGGGGAGGCCATTTTCGACTTCCCAGAGGCTCGAGGAAAGCCTCTGGAGCCTGGGGAGGATGAAAATGCGTGTTCCACCATGTTGTAGGAGACAAGTAGGCCATGCCCACCCAGCATCCGGACAGAGAACCAGTTGCTAACATTTTTCAATCCTACTCTTGCTTGCAGCGGTGATGGGGCAACCAGCTGCATAGTGTGTACAGCAGGCTGCATCACATGCCTCCCCCACACCCCATGCCTCTGCCTTCGTCTGTTGGTGCTGCCGCCACCACGAGGAGTGATGGGGCATGGGTGCTGCCACACCACTGTCCCAATCCTTTTGGTCCCCACCGTCGAACCTGGTCCTCCGTATGGGCAAAAATTAGAGAAAAACACTATTTGAGAATATCAGTCTGGCTTTCCCTGATGGAGGCACTGATACATCCATGTGGTTAATATGGAAAAAATAATAATATATAAAGACATTCTGAAAGAACAGTGGACTTAAAAGTAAACAGGAACTGAATAGCCAAGGGATCAAGTTAGCATGGTGACCGCATGTACAAATAAAATCAAGATACGAGAAAGATGTCAAAATATAAGATTTTTACAAAGAGCAAACGTAATTAGATCACATCCTGACAGGAACAGATTAAAAACTAAAAGAAATTGTTATAACTATTTACTGAGCTTTACAGTGGAAGAACAAGTAAAGGGATTCGAAATAATTAGCTAAATGGCAAAACCTCTGGGAGATGAATTATACATTAACAACGTGAACAGCATATAAAGAAAACCTATATAAAATGTTTTACAGATGGCACTTTCCACCAGCAAGACTAGCCAAGATGTTTAAGGACATGTCAGCTAAGTGCCGGAAATGTAACCAGACACCGGGCTTGTATTACCACATGTTGTGGACGTGCTCTAAGGCAAAAAAATATTAGACAAAAATACACACTTGGATAGAAATAATGATAAAAGAACACAAAGACTTAAAACTAGAAATATTTCTGTTGGGTATTATATTAGAAAAATATACTGAAGGAAATACATATTTAATATTACATGTATTAACATCGGCTAGAATTGCATTTGCGTAATACTGGAATAACAGTGATCCCTACAGAAGAGAATGTAATAAAGTACTAGAATGTGCAGAAATGAGTAGACTAACATGTAAAATTAAAGACAAGGAAGACACTGAATATATTTTAATTTGGGATTCATTTTATCAATGATTAATGAGTAGAAACAAAAGTTAAATTTCTTTAAAAATACAAGAGAATGATTAATATTGTAAAAATGGTTTTTCAAAATATAATTAAGCACTATTCTCATATGTTTATGATTGTTATGATGAGGCATTATTGAAATTATATGATTATTACTAATATTATAAATACTATTGTTATGATGATGACTATTGCTCAAATTAACTGTACCGAGACAACACCATTTATATAGACCAGGAGATTTCTAGAAAGCCGGATCATCATTGTAGTTCTCCCTGGTGGGTGGCGTACACGGGGTTGACGGGACGGGATGGGGGACGACGACAATGCATGTAGTGGGGGAGGACAGCTGCCCATTTTCCGGGCCATTTTGGCCCCTTTTTGGGCCATTTTCCGGGTCGTTTTTAGCTAAATTTGGATTATAAAACTTTCTATGTTAAACTGCAGGAAAAAAATTAGATACATACAAATCAACGGTTACTTCCATTCTTTTAAAATGGATTTTTAACCATTTTCCATCCTTTTAAATTATTTGTTTTGCTTACTGTCGCTAACCTTTTTGTGTCATTGTCGACTGCAAATGTGGTGGAATATGTTTGTTTTCACTTTTCATTTATGGCCTAATGATATATCCCTGCCATAAATTCTCCAAAGGGCTTAAGTTTCCTAATCACATTTGTTGAGGTGAATTTCCTACTCAATTCCTACATAAAAATGTTTTTTCTCCCATCATAGTTTAGATTGATATTCCTTTTCCACGAGCTTCCTTTCTTAATTTCGTAATTCCACCTTTTCACCAGTCAGAGATGAAACGTGCTTTTCTCCTCTTCCTTTCGCAAAGAGCCTCGTTATGAGGTAAAATTTTCGGAATATCCAGAGATTTGAAGTTTTTCTCCATTTTGAAACTAGTCTTTTTTTCTTTCTGCACAGGGTGGCCGTGATGGGAGGGACCTTTCCCCCTACTCCCATGCCCATCATCCCTGTCCTCTCCCTTCCCCTCAGACGCGTCCCTCTTTCCCGCCCTTTCTAGAATCCTGGCACTTTGCGTCCAAATCCACCAGGGGGCGACTTCCACAAAGACAGTGGAGATCCAGGCGCTTCCCCATTGGGCTGCTGGAGGGCGGACGTCACAGCTGTCATTCCAGAGGAAGTTGCGAAGGACGTAAGATGACAAACGCTTGCCGCTCTAGGACGCCGCACTCACTCTCCTTAACCCCTGAAGTTCCGCAGAAGTCGGGGATGCTGCGGGAGAGTCTTTCGGGGAGAGATGCAGATGTGCCACGGGTGAGGATGAGGGGCTCTTCCCTTGTCCCATGCTCCCCGGCCGCCACCTGCATACATGGGAAGCGGGGATGCCTGCAAGGCGGCGGGGATCCAGGGATCCCTTCCCTTACAGGTGTCTGGGGAAGAGCCCGAGTGGGGGGGAGGAGAGGGTCGGCCTTNACACACACGCACACACAGACATACTCTTACCTTGATCCTGTAGGATCTTTTGAGCAATAATCAGCTATTCAGCAACTACTGGCTGAACTTCAAAAGGCTGAAACAAGGAACCAGCATGGTAGCTGAACTGGCAAGTTAGAGCAGAATACGTTTTTATATATCAATTTCAGCTTTGATCAGAGATCATTTTGGATGGCTAGAAGCCATTTGTAGTGCCAGGTATTTTTGGGGGAGGGGGATGTACTCATAATCCCGTTTTTTTCCCTGCTTCCTAGCTTTTGGTGCCACAAGAAGCCCCCCCAAAAAACCTGCACAATTTGGATGTTTCAATTGACCAGTAATTGGCAAGGAGATCTTCAAGGGAAGACTACGGGCCAAGACTCGCTAGTTCAACATGTGGTGACAAGGCTGTTGAGGGGCGTCACGGTGAGGGCTCATCACAGGGGGTTTCGGGAGGAAGTCCATTTTTTGTCCAGCCACGTGGTTGCATGGAACTGGAATGAAAATGGGGATAGAATTGACGTGTGTAGAGAGGCTCTGCTTTTAGGGCTTCTAGGGGCTGCCTTGGGACATTCTCTCAATCTTGAGAAGAAGCAGGATTTCTGATACACTGGGAAGGAGGGTGGGAGAGAAGGAAGGGAGGAAGGGAGATAGGGAGGAAGGAAAGAGAATGGAGGGAAGGGAGGGAGATAGGAAGGAAGGATAATTGAAGAAGGGTGGGAGAGAAGAAAGGGAGGAAGGGAGATAGGGAGGAAGGAGAATGGAAGGAGGGAGGGAGAGAAGAATAACAGAGAGGGAGATAGAGAGGAAGGAAGGAGAATGGAAGGAGGGAGAGAGAGAAGAAAAAGAGAGAGGGAGATAGAGAGGAAGGAAGGAGAATGGAAGGAAGGGAGGGAGATAGGAAGGAAGGATAATTGAAGGAGGGAGGACGGAAGGGAGAGAAGAAACGGAGGGTGGGAAATAGGGAGGACGGAAGAAGAATTGAACAAAAGGGGGGGAAAGGGAGGAAGATAGAGAGGGAAGAAGGAAGGGAGGGAGGGAGGAAGGAAGGAAGGGAAAGGGAAGGAGAGGGGGAGGAAGGAAAGAAGGAAGGGGATTAGGACAACATTGTTCTTGACTAAAGTGTGCTATTGTCGTTATAGCATATGTAAACACAATTTGTGTCAACAGCTGCTCCTCTGGATCATTATTCCTCAGACCAAGAGCCTGTTCCCTCTTACAATAATTCATATATATATATA